ATATATATATATATATATATATAATGATTTAACCACAGAATCTGTTTAGATTTAAAAACTGGAAGCCAGGGCTAAACCTTTAAATAGCATTTCTTAATCAGAAATCAAATGCTCACATTTACTATCATAATCCTGCAATAAAGAGCATTGTCTCTTATGGACAGTGGTTGATATTAATTTCAGTTTACTCCTTTTATTAGTCAGTTATGAGCTGAACAGTAACAGATATATATAAAAAAAACATTCAAAAATCTGAGAAAGCCTGACTGTGTTGTGTCCCCGGGCCCGTCTGCCAAAAGTGTATTCCAAGGCCAGAGTTGGCTTCGGCGGTTCATCCCTTCAGAATAAAAAACAAACTATATTAATTACATGATTTAGCAACAAATTCTATTTTAAATATGTCAGTACATTTGCAATTTTTAGGGCCTTTAATTTGTTATAACAAATAAGGCAAAAAAAAAAAAAAGCAAAAACAAACTAATTTTGTTTTTGTATATAACTAGTTAAGTTTCATAAACTAAGCCTGAACGCTGAGGCTCAGTTTAACTCAAACCCACCTGTCAAGACATCGAAGAAGGATGGACGTTTTACCCTGAAAAGAGAGGTCAGACTTAGTTGGTTTTAGGGTTTGTACCGTCTTTTTATAAGCAATGAAATGTGTCTAACATCACACCAAACGAACCCCGGCCTTGCTCCCCATCAAAAACACGGTCCTCTCGCAGACACTGGTTTCTCCTCCGTCCTCCTCTCCTGCTCCGCTTTCCCGACTCTGAACCTCCGCAGCAGCTAGCTCCCATAATGTGTCTGAGCTGCTAAATATAACAAACCTTTCAATAAAACCACTCTACTAACCCAGAGGTTGTGTTATATTGTAGAAGAAAACACATATTGGACGATTCTTACCTCATTTTTTTGCCATGAAACTGGATGTTATGCTAACACGCTAAGCTAAACCGGAAGTACACTACTGCAAGCGTTGCCAGAGTAACGGCGCTTGTTTCTCGTTACGTCCTCGAAGGCATTATGGGAAATGTAGTATATTTGGAAAGAGCAGAAGAAAACTATAAAAAAAATTCCATCAGATTGTGACTGGACGTTACAAACCGTGTAAATTTTTATTATTCAGGGCAAAATGCAGCAAATGCAACGACGTTTGGGGCAGAAGAGACAAATATATTTCCTCCTCCAACCCAGTCTTAAAAACAAATATTAATGGCAAACCAATAAGATGAAATTATTGCATTTTAAATATGTAGCTCTTTTGTTACAAGAAGTCAGAGCCCAAGTCCTGACTGTCACTTTTGTATATTCAGATTTCATCACAAGATACAACAGAACACATTTAAATTACATTTGATAAAAAACTGAAAATAACATTATAGCAGTGAGCTTAAAATACATGTTTCTTCACACAGGATAACGAGCTTTATTTTAAAAAAATTGTAAATAATGAAAATGTTTGCTTAGGAAGTTCTGAACACCTTTTAAATGTTGACTTTAAACAGCAAAAAAAGTCTTCACAGATGGTCTCTTTCTTGATGAACAAAATTAGTCAGATTTGTAGTTTGTCATGACTTTTTTCTTGGCTCATCGCAATACGGTACATTTTCCAGCAGAAGGCTCTCTCGAGGCCGAAGCACTGTTAGACAGGGAGATTGAGTGGGGGGAAAAAAACACATTATACAACATATTGTTTGGAACACACAAAATGTCAGAGTACTTGAACTCATATGCACTTTTGTTAAATAAATTTAAAAGTTGCTATAGCGTAATAACAGTTTTTAGAAGAGAAAAAGTCATTCCATACAGAGTCTGTTTTCTCCAACATGTTCCACTTGTAACACAGTCTTACGCAGGACAGTTTCCACATCCGAGCCCATTTTTAACATCTGTAAAAGCAAACAAAACAGGAAGTACAATTAACTATATTTCTTATTTTTACAAGGACAAGAAACAGGTTATGGAGATCATTGAGCTTTGCACATAAACATCAAGTGCCTTTTATTTTGTTTGATTCTGTCTTTATTTAATGGTAAGAGCAGGACACAGTGCGATCAACATTAAGCTATTTTCTATTGTCCAGGCATCCTGCAGGTTAGCTATGAACATTGTTAGTTTAAATCCACGAAGTAGTGAAACAAAACTTGTATGTCTCCTTACCTGCTGAATATTCTCCTCTGATGTTTCATTTTTATTTTTCTTGAATTCTTCGTTGATTTTTAATCTAGCAGCTTCGAGGGGAAAACATAATCATATGATGCTTAGTAGATATTGTCAGAATAAAGGCAAAAATTAGTACAGGAAATGTAATCTTGTTTTGTATCTCACCCGTCAGTGCTCTTTCATCATCTTTGAATACATCCATCCTTGTCCTGTGCAGCTTTTTAAATACGTTTAACACCTGCATTTATAAGCAAAGTCATTACTTCAGAGATTTGACAGCTGGTAATATTGCTATTGGCTAAATTCAACGCTTTCTGTGACTGAATATAACATGCAGAAATCCTTAAACTATTTAAAAAACATCCTTCGAAGCTAAATGAAACGCTGTTGTATTAAAATCCATGTTATTAACGAATAATTTCTACCCTCACCTTTAATCGTGTCCCCATGTTGATTCTTTGTGCGCACTTCCGGGGTGGGTGTTGGGTTAACCAATCAGTTGATACTTTGAAATCACGCGCCACTACGTATCCAATCAGCGTTTAGCGTGGATTCTGTAAACCAAAAGTGGCTGCATTATATGCGCCAAACATGGCGGATGAAACGGAGAAGGCTCGGACTGCTCAACCGGGCGGTGACACAATATTTGGGAAAATTGTACGGAAAGAGATTCCAGTCAACCTAGTTTATGAGGATGATTTGGTATGTAGTTTTAACATTCGTTTTGCAACCAGCTTTTGCTTGCAGCTAACACAGAAGTTCGCGAGCTATGCTAGCTCTGCACAGCCAGGCTGTTAGACAAGTCATGAGCTAAAATAACCAGCCTATAAAACAACCAAGCATGAAGTGTCTACAGAAGTGACTCAGCAACCCAGAACAAACATGTATATTAGTTAGAAAACAGGCTTTCGTGCGCCTTTGCTACTACTTCTGCAGGTCTTCTAAAGGCTCCAGCATGCTGCTGCCGAAAAACACAAAATGTCGCAAAATTGTCGCAAAGATAAGACACGCTAATGCAGAAATGCTGCATGCCATACAAGTTTGCAGATTTGTAGGGTCATCTCTGGTGATTAGCTTAGCAACTTTGTTTTACAGTCAATCACGATGTGTCTGCAATTGTATGTTCATAAGTACTTGATATAAAGATCCAATAATCTCACATTATTTCAGTTGTGCATCTGTATAACATACTGCACATCCCTGATTTGTGTCATTCATTGTATTTCAGTGTGTTGCCTTCCCTGATATTACACCTCAAGCTCCTACTCACATCCTGGTCGTCCCCAAAAAACCAATTGTCCAGCTCTCACAAGCCGAAGACAGTGATGCTGCAGTAAGTATGACTCTGAAGAATGGCTGCACAGTATATTGAACATTTATCTCAAATGGAATAACAGCCTGTGCAATAGACATATTGCGAAAAAACTGCATAAAAATGGTTTGCTCAAATATTTGCTTTCATGCGTTTTGTCAGTCACACAACTTGGAAGTATTTGACCAGTCAAATGGATCTCTTCAGGTATTTAGCCAATCAGATGAATCTCTTTACATTAGATGCCCGCCCACTACATAGATGCAGGTGGAAAGCAAACTGAGCAAACCTAGTCACACATCATAGGTTTTCCTAATTTTGTGCAGCCCTATTTTTCTGAAGCTGCGCAGCTTTAACAGAATTTTACTGGAGTGCTTAACATGTTTCGACCACTAGGTGGAGACATTTACACATTTATTTGTGCACTATTTTAAACCAAGTGTTGGATCCTCATGTTAAAAAAAAATTCCAATTTGCTTTAATACATTTTCTTTCTCGCCATTTAGCTGTTGGGCCACATGCTGATAGTTGCAAAGAAGTGTGCCCAAGATGCCGGCCTGTCTAAAGGCTACAGGATTGTCATCAACGATGGACCTGAGGGCGGCCAGTCCGTCTACCACATCCACATCCACATCCTGGGTGGACGCACGATGGGCTGGCCCCCCGGCTAACCGTCCCTTGTCTTTCCTGCTCAGACCACTTTGCCACGTTGATGTGTGTCCTTTTACATCCAGTTCTGTTACATTCAGCTCTAAAGTGGTGTAAATAAAATTCACACAACTCAACTGAGAGTCTTGTCTGTCTTTTACCAGGATTATACTGTTTGGGTTTTGAAAATTCATAAAGTAAAAGCACTGCCCTGCTGTTCTGGTTGTTAAAATTTGCTTCATGTGGTGTTTTTTTTTTTTAGTTGCTGATTATTTACTTTTTAAAGGAGTGCTAGAATTGAGATGATTCAGTAGTTTGTGCTCAAAATATTGAACCATTACATTGTATTGGGTGTTGGCACAGCTTGTGAAAAGCAGTTGAGTAAGCAGTTTGGAGCACAGCTTGTGGTATAATTTGCATTTGACACATGATTAATTACCTACTGCATCCCACTATTCGGTGGGAACAACAAACAAAATTGAACGGAACCAAAACGTAAAGCTAATCAAAACAGCTGATGTAGTCTGCTTTATTTTCAAAATCAACCATATGAAAATCATAACCAGAGAAGTTAAAAGTGCTGAATGCAAATTGTGCAGCTACTTAATTTTAATGGGGGTAATAGCAAGATGCAGAGGCAAATGAATAGCTCTTGTTTTTATTAACAGAACCATTGCTGATAGCTTAACAAATATAAAAATGCTTGAAACATTCACATAATAATAAAAGAAAATAAATAAAACTGGTAGTTTTTTTCCTTTTTTTTTTTTACAAAACTTAAAAAAAAAATACAAAACACTGATCTGATGACACATTGACAAAATAATCCTAAATGTACCTAACATTCACAGTCCCCTAAAGTACTTCTGATATAACGTCGGTGGGGGATGGGTAAAACATTTAGAGGTTTATTTAAACAGTCACTTCTGATAAAAAAAAACAAACAAGATCTCTAATGTGGTGCAATCTGCCTCTGTCACCACTTGAAAAAAAAAAACAGTCTGATGTGCAAAATGAAAAGAATTCATAAAACTACACCTTTTTCTTTTAATCAATGCCCTTCTGTCATCAAAATGGGCACTTTGAGGCATTTAAAATCTGTGTACAGTACAGGAAAGAGAACATGAACACGCATTGGTACCTAAGATCACGCTTAGACGTCTCTAACTTCTAACACACTGCTTTTAAGTCATCTAGACACAGAGAAAGGTTCAGAAAATGGTCGGTCTCATTAAAGTAAATACAAAAGTAGCAGAGTCATTTAGAAAAAGTTTAATTAAACAGTTTGTAATCCTGCAGGACAGCTGGAGTGTCCCTCATAGTAGAAACAGAACGGTTGGTCTTCAGTATTTTACTCTGATATGGAGCCACATTCTAAACAAATCTCAATCAATTCACTAAAAATAAAAATAGCTCAAACCCTCATTTAGAATCACTAAAAAGCCTTTTTGAGAGTTGCTGCCGTTTCAATGGCACGTTATTAATAAAACCAATTCCCAGCAGCATTTTTTTTTTGTGTGTCCCTGTTAATATATTCGCTCATTTATTAGGAAATATTTTGTTTTAAAACTGACAATTAAAATCGTGGTCACATCACTCGTGACTGGCAAAAAGTAGAAAACAGCCAACTGGAAGAAAAATAGATCCTTGAGTGGATTTACTGAAGCAATGTCAGCAACGATTACAATTGTTTCACTGTTCTGAATAAACCTCTCGAATCCTTGATTTGATGACAGAAAATGGCTCTTGACATTCAGAAATAGGTACAACGTATTTAAAAAAATGTGTGAAAATTGCCTTTATCAAGAAACACATTGACTTTGGTGAGTTATTACTAATTAGTGAAGCTACTCTCGGGTAAAAGCACCGTTCTTTATAAGTAAACTTTACACAAACAAAGATGCAGTTGTGTCCTGTACTTGCTACTGCAGAGACAAACTTACTCAGCTACTGGAGGGGAAAAAAGCAGAAAAGAGTCACTTATGACAAGTGAAGGAAAAATAAAAGAGGTGAGCTGAGACAAGAGGAGGCATAAAATGTTCATTTGAGATGGTTACAGTTAAAAATATATTCATATATAAATAAAACCTTGCATTTTTGCTTAATTTCTAAAATAATCTCAAAAGTTTAGCATGTAGATGTGGTTTGTCTCGATGGTTGGATTTTTTTTTTTTGGGAAGTTAGAAGTTAGTGTTATTTTACAGTTTGTTAAGGTTGTCTGCTGTTGTCTTGAATAGGATTTAAGGGGTAACACTGCTACTGCTACGGGGGTGTTTTTAAGGCATGACCTTAGTGTGAGAAGGGTCCAGACACATAAAGAAGGCAAGAAGCAGAAATGAGGCTGTACAACCATGGAGATCTGCACTCCGTTACTCCATCAGTGAGCAGCTGGAAGGTTGGATCTTACTGTTTGTGTGATATATGTGGGTGTTGATGCATCAGGTGGGAATAAGATCCCATCAGTTATTTCTTTATCATCATCCTAGAGTTATAATATGAAAAATGGCTACTTTTTTTTAAACGTGCCTCATTGTTGGGAACACTGATCACCAGCCAGCTGCACTTCACCTGAACTGTTCAACTTTCTGTTCATTTCTGTGCGATGGCCTCTTCTCCGCTCGGCCGTATTCTGTTGAAGGGCAGCCCTCCGACTCCTGTTAGCCCCAAACCTAGCATGGTTTCTCTCGAGCCCTCCTCTGTGCCGGCGGAGGAAGACTGGACCCTGGAGGCTGACCCTCCAGGCCCAGGAAGGATCTCAGGTAGTGACTCTCTGGCTGAGCCGGTGGCAGAGGGCAGCGACGTTTTGGCGGTCTGGGGCTTGGTCGAGGCCGTGGGGCTGGTCAGGCAGAGGCTGGCCAAGGCATCCAAAGTCCCATCTGGGTCTACCATCACATTGATCACTGAAACAAACACAGGGAGACGATGCTGTGAATCTGGGGGAAAGTTTGTGTAAAAGCCAGTCACAGGGTTCCCACACCTTGGTCAACATCAAATTCAAGGACCTTTCAAGGACTTTCCAGTTCCAATTTTTTCAAATTAAAGAACCACGCACAACGGCAATTACCTACTACTACGGCAGAGTGTTACCAATAAACAGGTTTAATATCATGTAAATTCAATGAAAAACTGAACAACATAGAAGTTGTTGAGTCAGAAACAATGACGTCAGTTTACTGTAATCCTGAGTTATCCACTGCAAAAAAATCTATTTTTTTTTTATTTAATTTTATAATTTATTTTTTTTAAAAGATGATAAAAGTCATGTGAACAGAGAATTTCAATCCCCAAAAAAACATTCGAGGACTTTCAAGGACAAGTGTAAATTTTGGCTGTTTTCACAAACTTTTCAGGGCATTGAAATCTTTTTTTTTTTTCAAATTCACAAACGTTCAAGGATTTCAAGGACCCGTGGGAAACCTGCAGTCATGAATGCATGTTTCTGGTCTGTGGAAGAAAACCCACAGAGAGAGCATGCAAACTCAGATTACATAAATCATATTTTAAAATAAATACACCACTGTCCTGAACATCTGTTACAAACTATGGATTAAAGGTTTAACTACAGTATTTGGTTTACAGGAATTAATATTTGTATTCTGCTGCTTTTCATTTTGTATTTTAATTAGCTTCTCAACCACTACTGAAGTCAAGATGTCTAAAATATCAGTAACTAGGTTCTGCTTTACCTTGAAGCTGCTTCTCCACTTTCTTCAGTTCTAGAAAAATTGAAGAGATTTCCTGTAAAATGAAAAAAATAAATAAATAAACTTAACACTTAGATTTCCTCATTCATTAATTATAGACTCACAGACTGATTTCATACCTTGTTGGAGGCTTTAAGGAGAGGTATGTCACTCTCTGATTTCAGTTTACTCTCAATTTCATCCCAGTTCCTGTCCTTATCTTTGAACAAGATCCTGAGAAAAAAAAACAATATTTTTTTTTCTTGACAGAAATAAAATGTAGGAACAGAGTCGATGTTTCAAAAAATATTTATTCACATGTAATGTAAAATTAAGCTATAACATGAGTATAATCACCTGATCTTTCCTGCAGTTTTGTCCACAGAGTGTCTGATCTTGGTGGACAGCTGAGACACAGAGTGGATCAGGAGGCTGTCCAACACCGCCTGAAAACAAACAGTGTAAGAATGAAACTGCGTCAAACAGCATCCTGAACTCCAAATCCTGAAACGGATTATTTTGGTTTGTGCCGCACCTCCTCTCTGTTCCAGGTACGTCTCCTCAAAGCTCGAGGCTCCCGGCTGTCGGGGGCTCGGGGCTGGAGCTCCACGGGCTTCCCGTTTATTTCTGGCACCTTATTGGACGAGATGACGGGTGGGATTTTTCTGAATTTGAGGCTTTCGTCGAACACCCGATCCACCAACTGGGCAAAGAGGGAGAGAGAAAGAGAAAAGAAAAATAGAAATAAACTTTTATTTTTGTTCTACTAGACACACTTGTTTAAAACGTTGAACAGTAATGTGAGAATTTGTAAAATATGGACTTGTGTGTTAAAATAAGTGTTAAAAAAGTTGGAAATCAGATTAAATAATAAGAAGCAGATAAAGCTTTGAGGCAACAGAGTTTTATCAAAGAAACAGATGAAAATGGAAGCACAGGCAGTAAAACCATAACAGAAGAAGAAAATCAGGCACCTTTTTCATGCTCTCCTGTATTTCCGGCTGCGTGGGGCGTGCGGGGCCTACCTCTTCCCGGGTGTCGATGGCGGATCCCGGGGTGGTGGCAGCCGTGCTGACGGTGGTGCTGGGCGCCGTGCCCGAGGAGCTGACCGAGTCGATCTCCCCAGCCACGTCGTGGATCTCGCGAGCCAAGATGGCCAAGTCCTTGGCCAGATCCTGGCTGATCCTGCGCACACAGGGGAACAACCTGTTAATCAGACGGGGCTCTTTAAAACTCAGGATTCAGGAGAACGTGCTTTAAAGATGTCACTTCATTAATACCTGGCGATCTCTTCACTGTGAGCTGTCCAGTCCTTGATGTACTCCTCTTGCTCCTTCATGCGGTGCTTGATCCCCGCTCCCCCTGGACTCGACACCACGCCCGGGCCGGAATTCGCAGCGGCGCCGAGTCTCGAAGCGCGGGTCGGGACGAGGTGATGAGGACGCACATGAGAGCGAGCTCCTTGTTTTGATGAATTCCTGCTGGAGCTAAACTCTTCCTCTGAAGTGGAGCCGTACTCGGGCGGCATACGCCTCCACCTGTTACTGCTGGACACTATAAGGGTAGACAGAAAAAATACGGTTTTTACTTTATAATGTAATGCATGCTGGTACAACTAATAAAAGAGCTCGTGGATATGAGAGGCTTCAGCCAATCTTGCTTCGATCCAACAAAATTAAAAAGTTGCAAGAGTTGCTCTCCCCATTATGATCAAAATAATAATAATAATAAAGTCTGAATAAGCAGTTATATGCAAAAAAACCCAGCATATTTAGCAATTATAACACCACATTAGGCACAACAAAAACAGCAGCTAAAAAAGCTTATGTTCTTTTTTTAAAGGAAGCATGTTTGCTGCATTTTATGTTGCTGCTAACGGCTCAAACAGCAGCTCTGTTAGTGCAGCTGAGATGATGCGTTGCTCAAACAGTCTGCTCAGGGTAAAATGGGACAAAGTGTTAAAATGGGAGCAACACAGCAATACTCAATGGAATTAAGGGTGGAGACACAGACCTAGTAGAGCTGGGTCATCGTAGTTTAGCTTTATGCTTTTTTGTTGTCTAGTAATTCTGAACTACAAATGATACGCTTGTTTTTTTTAATAAACTGGAACGTTTAAACATAATGAGGGAGAAATTCCAGTTTCATGATCTTTAACAAAGTTTATTTTAATAATTTTGCTTTTGGTCTGAAGAGCTGTGTCGCAGCTCTTATTGCTGTGACCCAGGTCTGACATGATCACACACGTACACGGCACACAAACAGACTAATTACTAGACTTTATGGTTCTGGTACAGTACCCAGCAGCTCTTCCTCTGCATCCCCACCTGCAGGTTGAGGCTGAGGATTTTCTGGATGATGAAAACCAACGCACAGTTCATCACAACACAGTGGGACAAAACAGACCAACACTAAAAGGAGGACGGGATAGTGTCCGCTCTTGACTAAATCATTACATCTTGTACTAAATATTTATTTGAATAAAAAAATGATTGAGTTTTTTTGTTTATTTAGAAATCTTGGAGGTTTTTATTCTTTTCTCACCTGTTGGTGAGCAGTATCCAGATGTAGTGGTCTTAGTCTTGACTTCATTCAGTTTTGACACGCTGTTGGCCCTCATCCTGGACGTCAGCTTATTCTCTGCGGGTCCTGACGAGCGCAGGCCGAGACGCAGGGCCGTCTCCGCTGACAGGCGGGGCGAGGAGGCGGAGCTCCGGGTCAACGTGCACTCTGAGTCGCTGCGGGCTGAGATGGAGCCCATGCGGGTCCTCCGTGGCTGAGCCAGCATGTCCAACCGGGACAACCCCTTACGACCGGACGGAGGCTTAGAGGTGGAGCTTGTGGTGGACACCTCGGATGCCACCGATACCCGGTCTGCATCGGCTAGATCTGTGTCAGACGTGTCCCCCAGCCGGGCGCGGCGGAGCAGGGATGCTCTCGTGGGTCGTGGCTGTGGCAGCGAGGCCTGCTTGCTGAGAGAGGAGGCTGTAGCTGCCTGGAGGGTTCTGCTGGTTTTAGAGGCCCCGCCCACGGATGCTTTAGAAGATCTGCCGTCGAGTTTGGAATAGAGGACGTCTTCTGGGCCGTGTCTATGTGTCGAGTTCCCTAAAGGTCCAGAATAGGTCTCCTGGTCTGAAGAAAGGACATCGGAGATGGGGAAGGAGGAGGTCTGGTCGTCATCAGTGAGATCCTGAGAAGGCTGGCGTGCTTTAGAGGAGGAAGAGGACGGCTGAGTGGAGCGACGAGCCTCGGCCCGGGTCGCTGCATCTCCCGGTCTTTTACTCTTTCTCTCCAGGCGTTCTCGAGCGCCGGCGTTCGTAGTGCTGGTTTTGGACGCTGTGCTCATGTTGCTTTTTTCCCGGTGCATGCTGCTGAGAGACTTTCTCTTCTGCGTGCCGCCAGCCGCTGCCTTCCTCTCGGCCTCTCCGGTCACGTGGCTCGCTGTGGAGGCCGTGTCCACGTCGGATTCAGGAGAGACGGAGTCCGATCGGTTCCGGAGACCCGAGCTCTGAGCGGTTTTAGTCTTCTTCTGGTCGAGTTTGTTCTCGTCTCTGAGCTTGGCCTCTAGGAACGCCATGACGGCCTCTGTGTCCTTCAGCAGCGTGGCGGTGTCCATGCTGCCCACGGAGTCGCTGCGCTCGCGCCCGCCGCCGCCTCGGTTGATGCGAGGGATGAGCTCTGCGGGGACGTTTGCGCTGGGCTTCTCGATGGTAAAGCTGCCCTGACGGACCAGCGGCTTCCCAGATTTGTCTCCGGTTTCTGCTGCTGCTCCTCCTCCTTTCCTCTCCTCTGACCTCTTTGTCCGTTCAGTGCCACCGGGCGTCCGAGGAGAACCCTTGGACGGGGAGGAGGTGGAGCTTTGTTTTCGTTTAGTGGTCATCTCTGCGTTCTCTGTGGGGGTTGGCGACTCCCCGTCTCCCTTGTGCTCTTTCTCCTGGGGCTCAGTGTCCTGTTTCTCCCCGATCTCCGACCTCATCGCTTTGGAAGTGGATTTGGCTCGGGGGTCATCCACGGGGAGTTGGGGGAGGGTCCTGCGCTTATGGTCAGTCAGGCTGGAAGAGGATTCACCTTTGAGGAGGGGTGCAGCAGGATTAAAGGCATCAGCTCCTACACACAAACGAAACCACCTTTAACATAATACTCAACACTTTTTTGTCAGAATCAAGCCTAAATTTTAATCTAAGCTCGTTCTCTTTAATTTGAGTGATTCCATACCTCTCTCTTTGTGCAGGAATGTGGCTGCTTCTGCTCCAGAACCTTCTGGGTCCGTCCTGGTGTTATTAGCAGCTAAACTGGCCCACTGAGAGACCCAGCTGGAGTCACCGGGAAGGGTCTGAGGCAACACAAAGAGTGGCAAAAACTAAAATAGGATTGAGAAACTGTAATAAAGGGCACTGAGTCAGTTACTATTATTCTAAAATAGAGATTTTTAGATTTTATTTTTTCATTTCATTTTTTTAAAACAAAACATTACATACAACAAAAAATACAAATCAAATCAAATAAAAGGCAGCAGAAGAAAAAATCTTATATCTGCTCCCATTTACAAAAAAAATTTTCAAACAATAATAAGCCAAATAATAAAACAAAACAAAAAAATCCACTCTTCAAACAGTAACTCATACAAACAAAAATTAAACAATTTCATATTTCTTTAACATTTTTGCTTTGATCATTTTTTAAAAGGAATTAATTGATCCAATGCTTTTATAATCATTTTCCAGATTATTCTATAGTCTTATACCTTTGACTGAAGTGCATCTGTCCTTCAAATTTGTTCTGATTTTTGGTTTAACAAACATTTGTAGTCCCTTCAAATTATAGCAGCTTTCCCTTTTAACAAAATTTGATTGGATGTTTGAAGGTAACACATTTTTTTATTAGCTTTATAAGATATTCAACCAGCTCATAAAATTTTAATAATTTTAATTGATGAAACAATATGGTTAATATGGGTGATAGTAATGCTTTCTTGTGATAATTCTTATGGCTCTTTTTTGTAAAATAAAAATAGGGTTAGTCATTGTTTTACATGCATTTCCCCAGACTTCTATACAATAAATCAAATGTGGAACAATTATTGCATTATGTAGTATAAATAGTGTTTTATCATTAAATAACTCCTTAGCAATACAGTACTGCAATAGATTTTGCCATTTTTGTTCTTAAGTAATAAAGAGTAAAAAAAGAAGCAAATTAAGAGATTTATTATTTTTTACACTTCCAGATTTACATAAACATTCAATTGGAGATCCAATAAAGTATTAAATAAGCTGAATAACAAATCATTTAACACTGAACATGCAAATAGAAATTAACACTGAACATGCAAATAGAAATGGCAGATCGAAGAGGAGTTGGGCTGTCAGTGCAGATACACACTGTCTCCTCTCTGTTGTGAAACTGCCTGGAGGTCTGAACGTCTGAGTGATCTAGGTCACTCAGACAGACCTCCTCTCATCAACAGCCTAGTACAGTAAAGTGGTCAAGTCACAGGAGTGACTGCGACACAACCAGGAATCCTAAATCTACTTCTGTTTATCAGAACCAGACAACGTGATCCCCCAACTTCACGAAAAATAAAATTTTTTAGAAGAAGTGAACGCGGCTGTTTTCATAAACACTAAATCAATCAATAAAGACAAACTCTTAGACATTACCTCTTTCACAGTCTCTCCTGAGCCTTTTCCTTTTCCTTCTCCTTTCAGGTCTGACAAAACCGAAGCACTTGTACTCTCCTGCACTCCAAACACCTACAAATGCAAAAAAAAAAAAAAAACAACAGGTCAGAAAACTTCCCGTTTGGTGGAATATTAGTGTTCCAATCCAAATCTTATAACACTATCTGTGTTAGTAACAGAAACAAGTCAGACACTGCGATCTTTATAAGATTCAATATTCTTGATAAATGCTCTTAAAACGTATCGATCTCTTGGTTTCTTGGGAAACAAAAGTGAAGTAACAAACAAAATAAGCTGTTGTTTATTTTTCATGTTAATCCTCACAGTTTTATATAAATGAAACAAGCAGAAATAACACAAGCAAATTACAAAATGGTGCAGCGAGCAAGAGTGGACATCTGTGAGAAGAGTCACAATTAGTGTGTCAGCTAATTACAGGAATTAGCATAATAACACTGCCAGTGTACAATGTAAGGCATGCAGATTCACACGGACTAGAAATATAGCTCTCTAATTATTTCACTGCTTGGTGTAGGATAAATCACCATTTAAAACACGCTTGTAAAATTCTAAATCTGAGTTACGCTAACATTTAATAACCCGCTGAAAGCAGCTTCATGTTCTAAAATAAACTATCCTCAAAGCTCTGTATGATGCCTCTGGCAAACACAGGTGAACTTATATTTACTACCCATTAAACCTTTTATTTTGTTTTTGCCCCAATGACTAAATATTTCTGAGGCCCATTCTGAATAAACCATGACTTAATCTTTGTCCCTTTCAGTTAAAGTTTCTGTAACCACGAAAGAAAACTTTGCTTCATGTGAGGAGCATCAGCAAGAAAACTGATGTTGTTTCAGCCTCCCTGCAGCACTGTTTAATGAAACAGGACGGCTGGCTGATGGGAGCACATCAATCCAGCTTACTGCAGGAGCATTAGGTGTACCTGAGGGACAGAGAGGATGAGTGGTGGTCCAGCAGGGCCACAGACAGATGACGGTGCTGTTTTAGTATCAACAACACCAGTTGGCCACAAAGGACTCACGAACATAGAAAGTGCCAACGAAGCAAGTTTTAAAGTCACTATTAAGTTTGTCGTAGCCTGTTTGTGTTTTCTCTTTATAATTAAGGGAAAATAACTTTAAATGATGCGCATATTATTCTACCAGCTGTGTTTATGGCCACAGTTTGGCATATAAAGTTATAAGATGTTGCTTTTTTTTGTTTTTATTGAACTAGCCAACAAGACACTCATCTGAGCTTAAATGAAGTATGGACAATCCTTTATGATACCCACAAAGGAGATTTTTTAAACTTTTTTATTCTGCTGTACATTAAAAAAAAGATTTTTGTGTTTGCTGTAAATTTTACAATAATAAGCAAATGTTTTTGCAGTGATAAATTATAAATTACATTGCAGTCTAATAATGTTCAATATGACGGAAACAGAAAATATCTTTTCCATCTGATAACAAATAAAGGTAGTTTAAAAGTTAAAGGGGCAAAATCATGTAAAATCAACTTTTTTGAGTTTTATATAATGTTATAATGTTATACTCTCATAAAAAACATGCCCAAAGCCTTGCTTTGACACATGCATGTTTGAGAAATCCTGCAGTGTTTTTATGAAGCCATGCTGAGGAGCAAAACGACAGGTGGGGACCAGAAATGCCTTTTGGGATGTGTCTTTAAGCCAAACTTCCTCATGGTGGAGCCACCATTTTAAACATTTTACTCATTTTTACCTTGTCAATCATACGCCTGGCCTCCTCTTCTTCTGGGTTCGTGTTCTCCAGTTCAATAGTATAAGTCCCTTTATCACTTTGGTTGTCCTCCTCTTCCCCCCCGGTGGTTCCTGCAGTTCCAACAACTGAAGTGTCCTCACTGGGAGTAGTGGGGCTGCCAATCGCCAGCCTGGTGCTGCCTGAGCTCCGCCCAATACTTTGGTCCTCTGACCTCTGCTTGAGGAGGACACGGGCAGCCGTTGGGGCGCCTGCAGCCACTGTAGCTGATATGGGAGCCGGGACCTTTCCTGGAAAGTAAACATAGTGAAGAAGTATTGAGTTTAAATGACAAACTGTCATTATAAATGCCTCTATTTTTTTTATAAAACTATGATAAAATACATTTCTTCATTACTAAACAGAATTTGAAGTTTCTATGAACACAAGAGTTTACCTGAGTCTGAGGCCATAGCTGCAGAGGTGGAAATACTAAACACCTTTGGGTGAGACGGAGGCTGAGGACACAGTCCCTCCCCGCCTGCTCCTACGCCCAGCAGGGGAGCAGTCTGGGAAAAGGAATACGAGCGACGCTTGCGAGGGTTTTCCTCGTCGTAGAACTCGATCATGAAAGCCGTACGGGTGCTGGTTGTTCTGGTCCCGCTCACAGTTGTGTTGGGCTCTCCTGCTCCTCCGGCCACGTGGCTGTGTGTTGTCTTTAGGCGTTCCTCGAGTGCTTGTCGGCGAGTGGCGAATCGCAGGCCCAGCCCGTTCTCTGAGTCGCTCTGGGTGCCATCCTCATGCTTGCTGCCTACTGAGACACAAAATAAAGACAACTTAGTAACTTGCATAATCATTAACAAACAAAAACTAATTTTTAGGATCAATGATAAAAATCCTGCAATTAAGACTGTGCTATTTACTATTCAATTAATTTGCTATAAACTGGAGCCTGTTTATAATCTACTTACATAGATTACCTAACATGCTTAAATTCTTAAATGAACAACTCCATAGTGACAGAAAACAATCGTTGTAATTGTTGATTCCATACAGGTACTTCCTTTAAGTTATCAGGAAACAAAAAAAGAAAACAAAATCTCCACATCAAACACTACATTTATCTGGACGGAAATCTACTGTGAACACAACAACAAGAAACACGTCCGCAGATCAACAATGAACTTTTAGCTGAGTCCAATCACTCAACCATCAAAACAGACTCGAACCTCACAGCGTCTGACGAACCTACCACACCACCGCAGTCTCACATTTTCTTTTGTCTGGGTTGATTCAGCAAGTCTGCAACTAAAAACAGTGTGCCACACTTATCCAGCCATGCCACCCACACAACGGCTGGCCCAGTCGACTTCACTGGTTGTAAGTTGAGAGAGGGGGAGGGGAGGTGGAAGACATGGAGGGGGAATCAGAGTACGGATGTGTGTGTGTGTATGTGTCTGTGTGTGTGTATATGTGTGAAGGGGAGGAGGAGGGGAGGCATCGCGAGAGAAGAAAAAAAAGGAATAGAAAAAAATAGGGGCGCCTGAAAAGGGAAGGCGGTTGGGGGATGTGAGAAGAATAAGGTTGGATGGGAGAGAGCGACTGGATTTAGTGGGGGAAAATAACAAATAATAAAGAAGGATCTAATTACGTCCGACTTTGCAAACAAATGTTTTTTTTTTTAATTAATAAAAAGTGGAACTAGTTTCACTTCCCAAATCCTTTCCCCTAAAAACCATAAAGCACTAAATCTGCTCCATGACATCCACAAGCCAGATCAACAGCCCAAAGGCAGAACTAAAAACATGCCTGATTTCTTTACTATAATAAACTAAACAATTGAATTTCCTAGAAAACACGAGACAGACTAAACAGACAATTTTACAGTTTTTTTTTTTTTTTTACTTCTGCAACAAAGCTGTATAGTGATCTGGAACACTTTCTTGATATTTGTCCAAGTGAAGGTTAGGGAAGGTCCTATTTAAAAGTTCAATGTTTGCTGCTTGCACTGTCAAGTTTCAATAAGAAAAAAAATATTGTTATGAAACTCAGGTTCATGCATTAAAAGGTACACCACAGATCCATGTTTGCTTTGGGTGTATTAAAAAGTCTGCAGCAGGGTTGGGCAAAATCGTATTGTGTGCAGTTAAGTCAGTAAAACTGTCAACAATTAATATTTGCCACGTTATACTGCAATTTGTGCCTTGTGATGACATAATTGTGTGCAGCACGCTTTCATTATCAAGATCACATATGAGCCCAATGGTGGAAGGCAGTGCAGAGCGACTAATACTAACCCTACCCACCGTAAATAACTTCACTGAATGAAGAACAAACGTTTTAAACAGAGATGCAGCAGAGAGACACCTCTAATTTATGTTGAAGTGAGACCTCTTGTTTGTACACAAGTTTTGTTGTCCTGATCTGCTGAGACATTTACAGGTCAAGTGAATATAAGGTAAACAGTAGATGTTGTCACTGGAACTATTTTACTGTGTTGTAGGTTTTTTTTCCATTTTAGTCTTTAAAAACTATTCTCACATCACTTTAAATTTTTTGTCAGTCTGATGACATCATTTTAAAATATTAAATCAGACGTTATGATCAGTTACTCAAGTTGCCATGTCAGTGTTTCAGGTGATTGAACTAATTCAAATGGGTTGCGTATTCAGAAAGTTCTCTCAAGTAAAAGTAGCAATACTTCATAACAATATTACTCAAGTAAAGTAAAAAGTATGGTGTAGTAAAACTACTCCTAAAAGTACATTTTTTTCCCAAATGTTACTCAATTAAATGCAACTAATTATTACCCACCTCTGCAATTGTTGGATTAATTACCAGCTAAATACCACTATTAATCCTGATTTTTTTTGTCAATATCACCCAACCCTAGTCTGCAGTAACACATTTAAGCACAATATCTAATAAAAAGTAATCTTAAAGAAAGACAGTATTCCCTTACTTGAGAAAAATGTTAACATCTGTTATTTCTTTTGTTACTTTTTTAACGGCACCCTCACAAGAAAAGGTTAGGGTTTTATAAACTCTGTGGCTCATTCGTCAAAGTTCCCTTCTCCAATTATTCTGTTTTTTAATCAGTTTGACATGTTAAAAAAAGATTTACATCAAATAGAAGAAAGCAATGAAGGAATGAGAACATAAAGGAGGACAGTGTTTCAGGAGGTCAAGCAGATCAGCAGATAAGCAAGAAGCAGGTCTTTCATTCTGTCTCCAAGACAAAGAAGCCCTTAGCAGAGCTAGAGGACAACAGAGCTTTCTGTGAGAGTCCGGTGCACTGTACTGGTCGCTCCAACATGACTCACAAAGGAGCAGCCTGCACACACACAACTGAACAAATAAAACAGGGATGCACTTCCTTTGCACACAGAAACAGACACGCAAACATGCAATCGCCAAAACACACAGAACTAGTGTATCCAAACAGAGCAGCAGTGAATGCTGACTGTGACAGGTCTGCTAAGCCAAAGCTCAAATCAATCATCTCAGAATCATAAAAATAATAATGCAACTTAAATTAATTATACACCAAAGATTTCACCTGACGCTAATTAGTCTAAATTATTCCAGATAATGCACATAAAAATCATCTGAAAATGCTGCACTTATTAACAATGCATTTTCTATTTCAAATAAAATCAGGTAAAGATAAAACCTGCACAAAAAAACTTACCTTAATATTTATCAATCAAAAGTGGAAGCTCAGCTGCCTCAGTAAATCTCTGCTACTCTTCCTCCCAGCACCTCTATGGCACACCCTTAGCAGATTTCCATTCACACATGCTGCACTGCTTGTCTGCAGATCAGAGCTGAGCATGTTTCAAACATGCAGCAGAGGCAAAAACTGCAGAATTCAGCCACACAAACGCCCTCAGAAGGTGCTGCAGACACCTCACACACAGACAGATGTGCACAGCTAGAATCGACTCTGTAAATGAAAGTCTGCATCGCTGTTTCTATAACAACTTTCCGCCAAAGGCTGCTCTCCCTCAGCTTCACTGCCTCCCTTTCTGCTCTCACTGCAGCCCAAACCCCACCCCTTCTCTCTTTTACGTGCTCTTTTCACACACCTTTGCTAATTTTGCTGATATTACTGCTGTCGGTGCTTTTTTCAGCTTCTTCCTCTCATCTATCTCAACTCACCTGTTCTTTTCGCACCTCACGTGTCCAAAGCCAGTGTCAGTATAAAGCTTGCCATCCAGCTGTCAACTTACCCTTTTACTATCTCTGTGTTCCCTCGCTCCCTCTTCACTTAAATTACCTACCTTTTCTTTTCACCCTTTCTTTCCCTCACTTCATCTTATTCTTGGTTTCCTTTAACTCAGCTGTGAAAACCCAGTCAGTGAATCAGTTAAGAGCACAGTCATCCATTAGGTGAATCAATCTGTCAGCCAGCTGACATGCATGTTAACAGATGCTAACTCCATCTAATTTATTAGCTTTCTGTGTTTTTTTATCCTGCCTCCTCACAGGTTTCCATTTTCATCAACTCACAATGTCTCCCTCCCCTGGTCTATTAGACAAAAGCAGGTCAGGGACGACACTGTCTTTGGTAACACTTCTGAGGCTAAGCAGGACCTGACCAGGGAGCAGGACCAGGCAGTACTGCCATTCGAACGGGGTTTGCCAAGTTCAAACGTGAAGTCTACTGTTGACTGAGATCAGTAGTCTGAATGCTTAAAAAAAACAGCTCAACAACTTGATATGTCTTCTGGTAATAACACAATTTTAAAAGGAACGCTATATGAAGCGACAGCGCTCTGCTCTGAATCAGGGGAGAAGATTGTGTACAAATACTGATTAACACTGTTGCAGTGAAGAGAAACTGAAGCAGTATGTACCATGCCTCTCGCACTGAAAGGCAGCTTCCCATGACCAAACATCAGCTAACAGGAACATGCAAACCCCCTAGAGAAAGACCTCAGGCTCAACCAGGGGTTTGAACCCAGGACCTTCTTGCTGTGAGGCAACAGTGCTAACCACTAAACCACCCTGGTGCCTCTGTGCTTTAAAACCCCGACTATAAACACAAGCTGGCTCTAACGTAGCTCTTGCTTGCACTGGCCCAATAGTAGCTATTGACAAATGCTCTGCACGTGGCTTACAAAACCCTTGAATAAATCAAATTTAAACTTATTCGAGCAGAACAAATAAGCACAGTTTGACCCGTAATCACAAAAATCTCGACCGGCAGGAAGCTACAGCTGAATGTTTGCAGGTAATGGATGCACTGAATTTACAGACTTCTTAAATCTTCTCAATACTGAAATATTGAAAACAACAAAGATAATTCACACCCATGATGAACATGAACTATAATAAAAACTCAAATCAAAAGTCATCTCAGAAGCATAAATCAATAAATAAATGAACCCAGAAACATACATAAGTTTTTAGAAAAGACCAAACTTCACCTTTGAGTCTTTTGAGGTGGACCGGCACGTCACTCTTGATGCTCTTGCTGTCGTCTTCTGTTGACTCGCTGCGCATCAGCGTGGGGTCGTTATGAGCCAGCCAATCAGCCACCTTGCTCTCAGAAGCCATCATGGCAGCTTGAAGAGTGCTCAGATCCTTGCTTCCCGCGCCGCTCTTCTTGGAGTGAGACCTGTGGTGGTCCGCTGTGAACTTTGACACGTGGTCTTTAATGGTGACTTTCCCTGGAGAGGTGTTGTCGAACTCTATGGTGAAGGAGGCGTGACCTTGAGCTGCGGAGCACACGGTCCAGGATAAGTATTGTGTCATCTCAACACAACTTGTAACCTAAAGTAGTTCTAATAATAATAATGTAAAAAAAAAAATCAAAATGTATAAATAAATAAAAATAGTATTTTACATGCAGTGATGTGGCTGTGAGAAGGTCCATCTTCGGTGTCCTTGGTGGGAATTTCATGGATGCCGTTATTTGCCATGTGACCTTCTTTGGTAGGAACCTCATAATAACTGGAATCAAGAGCAGTCGATGCATGAAGGCCACCTTCTTTAGCTTTTTCTCCTCGACGGGCCTCTTTGCTCTCTGAGGTTTGAAAACAACAAACAGCTCAATAAACCAGTCAGTCATAGCACTGTCCACTGACAGGTTAAGAGAGTTTCTACAACAAAATGCATCTTGACAAAAACTCGCAACAATCATATTTCTGTTACTTGGACATTTGACACCTACTTAAATAGAAAACCCATCATAACACTCAGATAGCAGCACTTTGCTACAGTTAGTACCAGACCCATTAGAAAATCTTTAAAACCTTCTTTGGGTCCAAACAATGGAGAGTATTTTTCCCCATTTAATTATATTAACCAGCTCCTCTAAGGGATCTGATTAGGATAAATGATCGTTTCACAAAAAATAAAAAAGGTGCCATCTGCTTTATCTGGGGGGTAAAAAGTAGGAACATATGGCAGATAGTAAAATAAAAACTGTGCAGAAACTGTGTAGAAATCACTCATTTTAAAAATCAGTCTTGTGAATTGTTATACTTAAAATTTGACGATTCTTAAGGATTTAAGAAAAGTATGATTTTAGCAAGAAATGAAGTCTAAATTAGGTCTTATTTTCCAATTCACTACCTTCAAGTCAGCTTAGTTAAAACGAAAGAAAATCTCTGACATGATCAGCAGCAGCCAGCATGAGCTGCTTGAAGATTTAGAACATGGAAGAAACTCAGAGGTAATACCAGACACTTGATTTTACACAACAAACACACAAAACAAAACAAACTGGAACATTCCGTTTTTGTAATTTAGTATTTTTGCTTCTTTTTGCTTCTAACTTTAATAAAAATTAAATAATTGTGCTACATTCCCTTTAGCAATAATGCTCAAGTTTCATCTTGTTTTATAAGTGCAGCAAATCATTCCCTCCTACAAGACATCACCTTCACCCTAAGCTTTAGGCTTAAACACAATGTTTCCACAATCACTGGTAACTGTGTAAGCAGTTATGGTCTTTACAAAAACAAAAAATAACCCCCATAAACAAGAAGCCTTACTTGTGTTACCACAGTGTTTACACTTCCATCAACTCAGAAAACTTCAGAGGTTCCTGTGTGAAACTTATCCTATCACTGTTAGCACCATAATTAAAACTGATAAACTTCCTCTTTCACACATGTAACAAAAGTGTCAAAGTATCAGCTTCAACATAAATCACAAAACCTGTCCATTCATCCTTTTTATCTCATTTTCTGTGCAGGGGGGGTGCCCATCTCCAGTGGTCAGAGAGCGAGAGAGAGACGGGGTACAGCCTGGACGACTCACAAGTCCATCACACGGCCACAGAGACAAATAAGACAGACGACCATTCGCACTCTCACTCACACAAAGTAACAATTTTACATGCCAATGAGTTTTGAGAAGTAAATAAATTAAAGCCATATTGATTTACAGATTAATCAGCTTAAACTAAAGATAAATATGATGAAGATTTTTTAACTGGTTTATTAACCACTTATAATAGATCATTTTTTATACATTCACAATTTTTATTTTGGGCCATACAATAATACAAAGTACAGCATTTTGTACATAAATTATATGCAAAAAAGTGTGTGCATTTAAATGCATATAAATTTATTAAAAAGCAGCAGTAAAGGTGTGACAGTGGCTAATTAACAACAACATTCATTTTATTCATTTCTTTAAAAAAACAACCTAAATTCAACATACAACAAAAATACAAATCATAAATTAAATGAAAGGTAGCAGAAGAAGATAAAATCTTATTATATCTGCCCCTTTTTCTCAAATAAATAAATTCAATCAAAAATAATCTTTAGTTTATAAAAAAAGAAAAAGAGAAATACAAAGGTTTAACTCCTTGAACAACAATTCATACATTTTCATATTTCTCCAGAAAATTAATCTTTATCATTCTCTTAAATATACACATTGATCTGGCATTTTTAATGTCATCTTCCAGATTATTCCATAATCTTATACCCTGGACTGAAGTACTCCGTTCCTTTAAACTGGTTCTAAATTTGGGTTTAACAAACATCTCTACCCCTTTGAGATTATAACAACTCTCTCTTTTAACAAAGTGTAATTGAATGTTTGAAGGTAATGTGTTTTTATGAGCCCTATACATAACTGATAAAATACCATAATTAACCAAATCATAGAGTGGCTAATTAGCTTAAAATGGTGGTTACTCAATCCAAGTTCCTGTGACCTAAAGAGAGTTAAAGGATTGAAAAGATCTTAAAAGAGTAAAAATCAGAAAGGCACATGTGAAGTAAGTGGATGTCAGACTAATACTGTACAAAGCTGACACAAATTGAAAGCCCTTTACCAGATACATTATCCAAAGTACATGGATTTGAGAGCAATACTTGCCAGAGTATTAGCAAACAGTTGCTGCTGTGCACTGAGCCGTTTGTGTGGAAGCTGTGTGTGTGTTTGCTGGGAGAAAAGGGGGAGCTGGTGCAATGGCGTAACTTAATCGGGTTTAGTGACAATACATGTGAAGGGGGGTGGGGGACGGTGCGAACACAGGCTTTTTATTCAGAAAGAGAAAAGAACACACATTAAACATAACTGACGATCATATCCTAGTGAAAAATCCCCCTCAGAGAAACAGAATCACTTCCTGCCTTCTTTCGCTTCCCCGTGACTCTTATGCTGTATCAACTGTGAACTGTGCAAATTTAGAGACAAAGCTCACTCTCTGTTTATAAACATACATACTAATAGTAATATCTTTAATGCTGAGGTTTGTGCCAAATACACAGGTAAACTGCAACATTTCTGGCACAAGCTGCTTCTCAAAACAAAAACAACATTACATCATCAACTCAGCAGTGACTCTTTCCAAATGTAATCCTGCCAGAGGGTAAAAAGCCTTTTACTTACCCACTTCCATGACTGAAGTAGCTAAACCCATTTGCCTGAATTTTTGGAAGCTTTTTATGGCTTCAAATCACACTTACGTAGTGTTTTACTCCAAATTTTCAAATAGCAGTCAAAAAAAATAATAATTCTTAGCAAATATCAACAAGACAAATGGCACAACACGGCCAATCTCAAACAGAACTATTCAAGCTGGAAAATAAAGGCTCCAATTTTCAGGCTGGTGAAGATGATCCAGACGATCCCTCCAGATGTGGACAGAGATTTGCTTCTGTCTGCTTGCATGTTTGTGTTATGATTAACCTCCCCCCACTCCTTCTGACCAGTGTTCCACTAGCCTGGCACAGACTGATTTTGCTTCACTGAGCTGTTTTACTATTGGCGTAGGCTACAATCCTTTTAACAAGGACCCCCGACAGCCCCCACCCCACCCAGTCCGTCCAGTCCTTGGAGCAAACTGTTGTGCATTACAGGCTGTGAAAATAAACCTTTTTGTGCACTTACTGGCCATTACTACCTAAACTAATTTAAATTAAAGTGAAAATCAAAACACCATACCAGTACATTGTTAGTGATTTATTTAATCAGAAATTACACAAGTTCTTCACTAAAATATCTGTTTAGTTATGTTTCTTTTGACTTTTCTCTGCCAGAAGTTGAAAGCTCTGAGTTCCCATTAGTCATCACATGCAGTATCATTAAACACTGGAGCTTGTCATTACAAAAAACAAAAAAAAAGCCCTCATTAACATCAGTGAAGTGATGCTCATATAAACAGCAGACCTTAAAGTTAGCCTCTAAAGACTTAAAATATAAAGCAATAAATCCACATTTAAGTTCAGGGATTACTGAGCTTAAATGTGGCACAAAAAACATCCAGTCTGATTTTGACTTGTCTACCTCCTGCTGCTTATCATTAAGTTACATCAGATTTTATTTGTAGTGCAGTTTTTTTTAATAACCAAACCCAGTTTAACACTTGATTTGTTAATATTTTGTACAAAATGAAGGATCAGGATGAATTCTCTGCAGATGCATTTGAGAAACAATTCTTTTGTGGTGTGAACAGTGTGAGCTTTCAGGCACTCTTGTATGGTAATATCAAGTGATGTTGTCAGAAATCAGTCATTTTTAAAAGGGTCTTACCTGAAATGCAGCTGTCATGTTTCTTGGATGAGGATGACTTGGTTTCCTGTTTAAAAGAATTTTCATCATCTGCATCTTCATCACCCCACCAAGAGGGCTGGCCATACAGAGGGGTCCCACGAGGCAGGGCTGTAATGTCCCCTGGGAGATATACACAGACACAATTTAATAACACTAAGAAAAATATGAATAATTTATAAAATCACAAGGAGTTTAAACAAAAGAGAAACTTTGTGTTGATGTGAGACAAACATATTGGCTTGTTTATTTTCAAACCTGTAAAGAAGGAAAAGGAAATCTAGCTGAGAATGGGAAGTGACATGTGCCATATGTTCTTAGGAGGCTCTGAATCAGCATTTAGCATCTTATTAGACTGTGTGAAGAAAAGCCACATCCAACCCTAACTTCCTTTTTTGCCTACTTTTTATTTTTAAATACCTCTGTCCTGAGCTGTGAAAGTTAAATCATAGTAATCAATGTAATTACACACAATAATGAAAAAGTACAGGCAGGAAGCTGGACCCTCGTGCAGAACGTCCGCTTACCACAAGGTGTAATATCTACATGTGGCTTAGTATTATAGCAGTCATACAGCAGAAGCCTGGCAGATGGAGTAACATGCAGCTTGCTGTCCCAGGGCTTGTTTAGATCCAATTGTGCAAATGTGTGTGCGTAACTGAACATCTTGTAATTTTGGAAAAGTAAAAATGTCATGCGGCTTTGCTTGATGCACACTGCATTGCTCTGACACTGATTAATCTGTGAAAACACACGCACACACACAAGCTCCATGTGGCCTTGTTTAAAAAACTGGAGATTAACAAGGGCTTTAGGTGCACCTTCAGATCTAAACTGCTTTTATGATTAAACTGAATAAATGCAAGCTAATATGGAAGTTGAAGTCCTCTCCTAGTGACCATCTCCACCCCCTACTGGTCTGACAAAAAAGCCCACTATTTAAATTAAATATATTCAGTCACAAAAATGTAATCCTTTTAAAAAATGAAAACTGTTAGTACAGCAAATTAAATACAGCATGTGCCTAAATTAAAACCATCATTAATGCTTTTGTGCTTGAATGAAATGTGTCATCATTACTAGAAGGTATTTTCTTATACAAACTCTGAGTTATAATAAAGAAATACAATCTTATGAAAGCACACTGAATTTGAAAAAAAAAAAAGAAAGCACAAATGAAGTGTAGAGTAAAGCCTCCTCCCCCACTTCCCCATCATTCTGTCTCACCTCCTATCCTCTCCTCTGCTTTGTGAGACTCGGGAGGTTTCGATGACTGTTCTTTAGAGGAAGTGATTCCGTCTGTTAGTCTGCTCTCTCCCAACTTTGTGGCGCTGCTGCTGGATGACTTTGGTGTTTTTGTTGGGGTCTTACTGGGAGATTTGCTTGTTGCGTTTGTAGCGGTTTCACCAACGGAGGGCTTCTTACTAAGCTGGAGTCCGCTGGTGAACTTTTCATGCTGAAAGAAGATGCAGGAAAAAAAATAAGGATAAATAAAACTGTGTATGCAATTTGATACATTAAAAAGACACAGGTTATTTGTTCTCACCTTTAGAGCCTCTTCAGGCACAGTAAGCTCTCCTCTCACCACCGTGAACAGATTGGTATGTAAGACAATACAGTTAAGGAAATACTATCACACTACAATATGGTGTGTTTGGATGTAAATATTAGAAATAATGACAAGTGAAAGGACTTAAGGCCATAAAATATATTGTGGTTATTTGATACATTATAAAATATTGGCATTTTGGCATCAATCTAGATTAAATATGAGCCCACAAGTTGTGGAGATAGAATGGAAAAAGAAAAGGATATCATATCCAAACCTCAGCTTGTCTTCCAACTTCAGAGTGATATACATCTGCTCTTGAATGCGGACATCATTTACAAAAGTCTGGAGAAGAAAACAATTTAAATACATCAAATGTAACAACTGCTTCAGATAAACACAAACTTTAGGGCTTCAACAAAAATATTCCAACACTATTTGCTAATAATTTTGTCAATGATTCTATTGAGTATTTACTTTTATTTAAAGCATTTTTAGTCAACAAGTTCCCAGTGCAGTGGCTAAAGTTAGCCAGAGAGAAAAGCCCGACTAAACACGTGTTTCTCTTTCTGTTAGTTGGTTTGGTTCTCGTTCTTCTTCTCCCACACTCATTCACTTCTCTTTCTACTCCACAGCTCTGCGACGGATCAAATTTCACTTTACTGTGAATTAAATTCAACACATTTGCGGTGCTGTAATAAAACATTCCAGTCTTCTCTCTAGTGAGACTCTCAGCAGRGTAACAACTTAGCCGTGAAATGGTTTCAGTCAGAGAGTGAGGGGTAACTGTCCAAACCTCTACATACCCACTGACTCAGCAGCACAAAAAWTTCCTACTAAATCCAACCAAAGAAGCTGGATGGTTATAATGACAGAGGAGGAAGTGACTCTAACTTCCTGTTTGAGTGCTGGAGAGGATGTGAGGATGTTGTTCATATGTGTCTAATCTGGTGGGCTGTGACTGGGTACAAATCACTGCATGACTAATAGAATGTGGCCAGTGGAACCTGGTTTTAACAAGCTACAACCTGAAAGAAAGAAGAATAATTCAACCATTTTAAAAAGGTATTAAAAATTCCTGATTTTATTTTGGGGATCGGTAATGTGTGAAAGTCTGAAATGCCCGTTTCAGGAGCTTTTAGTMTCTGTTTCTTTAAGGCACAGCTGTCAAAAGATCCTGTCAGCTCAAACTGGTGAGCTGATCAAAATCTGAGCTGTGATTAATTGGTGGAGGAATTCCTCTTCTAGCTAGCCGGTAAACATTAAGCACCACTGGTCATGTTAAAAAAAACAAAAATATTATTTCGATCTGGTTCCTATTCAGTCCGTTTATCTTGCTTTCAGCTTGTTAAACGTGTTCTCATTTTCTTACTTTCACTTTTCTGTCCTCTCCTGTTCTTTGATCTTTTCTTTTTGTCATCCATCTCTGCTTTGGAGTTTTCCACATAAATACTTACTCCATTCAGGCTCCCCAGGTCCTTGACCTTGTGTTCATCAGTCCCAGGCTCGTAGTTGATGACTGCGTGCTGTTTGTCGACGCTACGAGACTTGAAACAAAAATAAACAGACACAGAACATTAACTCAGCAGATGCAGTCGAGGACTTTACTTTGAAATTTGATCTCTAATCATTAGGATCAGATGTCACTACTGGATATCATACAAAAAAATAAAGTATTAGTTTTCCTCTTAATCTTAGCTGTCCTATAACAAAAGTTCTACACTTTGCATATGCAGTATGCTTTAATTATGCCTCCTGCTGTCACCTTTCACATTCACACACAGCTGTGCATACACACACACACACACACTATAACATCTCTGAAACAGACAAAAGAAAAGCTGTTAAGGAATAAAGGCTGGAGAAAAAGTATTGACTTCTGCAGCTAAAGAATAATGAGCACATCAGCTCTTCTGATGATAAATGGTTTTCAGATCAAACACTGCAGCATTTCTGTATTCATGGTGCGAACCTAAAAATGAAAAGAATTGAGGAATTTGGTAAATATTTCATCCACACATCAATGCCACTGAAGTGAAAACATCAAGCAGAATCCAAGGATACTGACTGATAAACATTTTTCAGTCTTGAGGTCGGTCTCAAAGAGGTTTGCTGTTTGGGTTGGTTAGTTTATTAAGGTCAGTCAATGCCAATTCTGGGAACTAATTCACATTTTCAGTTGATCTCCACGACTCTTTACTTTGAGTCGAACCCTATTTGTCTAAAAATAACATGCTGAAGTAGAGATTATTAGGTCATGGAAGAAGTAACTTGAAAGAGCAAGCCAAAAAACAGATAGCCTCAGATCAAACATGACAGAAACCAGCTGAGCCGCCTGTTTTACCTCAGGCTGTAGATGGATTCATTTTACACAGATAAACTGCTGACAAACAAAGTAGGCGCAGAATAAAAGAAAGGCAGAAAACAGATGTARAAAGTTGCTCATCATTTCTAAAAAGTAAAAGTGAGAAAACTAAGACTTGTAATGAAAGCTGTAGCAGGTTTAATATAAATGGAAACACAAAAACTCACTCACACTCAGACATAAACATGATGGCAACAATTTAATCCATGAGACACAAATAAACGTGTGAGAGGAAAAAATAATCACCTTTCTTTTTAACTGCATTTCTTTCTATTCTTAAATACACTAGGGCAGCARGGTATTAGGACAACCTGCAATGTGCAAATTGCTGCTTAATATTGTGATGACGACTTGTGATAAATGAACAAATACTTACAGTAAGTATGCATTGTGGATGTCTTTCTGCTCTGGGTTCAGAGTAGTAAAAACACAACTAATACATAATTTTCATTCCAGCATTAGTTTTTAAATATACTGTATATAAAGAGATCCATCCAATTGGCCAAAAATGTGCAGGGCTCCATTTCACTGGTGAAATACTTTCATGTGATTGACAAAATGCATAAATGCAAATGTCTGAGCCAACGATTTGTTGCAGTTTATGCAGTTTTTTGGGATGTGCCTATTGCAGAGGCTGTTAATGCAATGACAATACATTTTTGACATATTGTTCAGCTCTGTAACACACTGCATTTAATTTAATTGGATGTGAAAAAAGAACATGTTCCTAAATTTTAAAAGGTTCTACCCATTTCCTATTTGCATCATAAGGCTATAGTTTAAAAATAACCACTGATCATCAATATCAAGTAATTACATGCTAATGCACGTATCTGTTTTTCCTTTAAATCTGATATTTTGTCTGTGAGTCTGTGGTTGTGTTTTGTTGGAGCATGACACAGCAGACGTTTATATGTTGAGCCATGTGATGAAGCCTTGGATTACTGAAGCTGTCACATGAGTCTCAACTGCCAGCTGCTTTGCAAAAATAAAAATAAAAAGTCTGAAAATGCCTCTTATGTGTGCAAATTCTCAAAGATTCACAAGAGCGGGAGCATAAAAATGCAAAAGCAGTAAATAATCAGGTCAGCAGAAAGCYGTTTGTGGTTGAAAAGAAAGAAGCGAAGATTTATTACAACTTTAATAATCTTTGGGAGTTTGAAGTCCTCAAAGAGCAGGCTTGTTAGACACAAACAAACCAGGAAACAAATAATAACTGAGAAATCAGAAAAATAAAAGTCAATGTGGTCAAATCGACAAAACAAGTCTGTGATTGTAAAACAGTTATAGGCAAAGATCAATTTTAAGGTCACCACTGAAACACTGTGTACACTTTACTATACTATACGTTACTTTACTATGTCTTGATCAGCATTAAGAAAGTAAAATTAAACATTTGATGATCAGATTTTGAGATAATTACTGGGATCAGTAAAAACTTTTTCTCAAAATATTAATTTTGCTGCAGCTAAAGATGCCGTCTATCCAAACAACTGACTCAATCTGATAAAATATAACTCAAGAGGCATCTGCCCCACTTTCTATTATTAGCACGGTGACCAGAGGTAAACACGAGTGTACACACGGGTCTCTATGGACGTATGCACAGCTGCACAGATACATAACACACACACACAAACTGAGGCCATCAAAGAAATATTGTGTAGCTTCATTAGTACAAATATCTTTTCAAATCCATGAATAAAAGAGAAAGTTGCCAGCTGAGGTAAAGTGAATACCTTGACATAAAAAAAGAAACACTGTTTTTTTTTTTTTTGTCTCTCACCTGTAGCATGAGCTCACAGTCGTCTCGGCCAACGAAGATCATTTCCCGGGGGAGCCGGTGGCGAGTTCCCCCGCTGCTCACCAGGAACCAGGAGGTCACACTCATTGCTACACCCTGCTGCTGCCTCACGCACACACCTCCTGAGACAACACGCAAAGTTACTATTTTACAAATCTTATTTATGACAATCAGATATTTTGCAGCTGGATTATGACCACGATATTCTTTAAAGTAAACAGACTGATATGATTTGGTCAGTGTTTACATGGTGATCCAGCTTTTTTTTTCTAATCAGTGTGTTAAAGTATGAAGAAAAATCAATCAAGATTATTTTCAAAGGGAAACATGTCCTGACTGGTGCAAACGCCAACTGGAAGTTTGAAAAGATTCCAGACATCTTTGATATTAAGTGTTAAACAAGTATTTTTTTAGTAAAATAATTWCTACATGCCTCTGGTCCAGGTAGCTCACAGCTGATAGTCCACTGACAGCAGAAGACAGCTAGGTCATCCTGAAAGAGATGAAGAATAAAGATTTCTCCTGTTAATTGTTTTTTTCACTTCATGATATAATTATAACATTTAAAGGAAAAGAGACTTAAGAATCAGTGTCAGAGAGTAAACACTGGTAGAGATGTACTGAAGTAAAAAATAAAGTATTATCTCTTGCTTCATTTTGTTTTGGTCACAGGAGGAATTAGGTTAAGGGGGCGGTCTTGCAATGCGATGCCTCTGTCTAAGTCTAGAAATAAACATTAGACTAGCCGGTGAAGTACATCCTCCCCTTTTTCTCTGCCCGCTCTGATGACTGCCAGATGTTAGAGGAGGAAGTGATGTAGGAATGTTGGCGGCCTACCCACCAGAACCGTTTTCTTTTCCCTCCTCCCCTTCGATGTACTTCAGACGAGCAMAAAAAGGAGGTCACAGCAAGGCCCTCTGGCTTTCTAACTGCCCGGGCCTGGAAGAACTAAATAAAGCGGATCTAACGGACGTGCACGTGGTGTCGTTTTCTAAATAGCTACACAGCTATTTTATTTAATGTTTGATTTAACAACTGGTTGAGTGATTAGTACAACTGCTGATGTGTCTGACTAACCTGAGTGGGAGTAAAATTCATAATTCAATTTTCCACACTGTCACAAGATACCAAAAATAATCATTCTCAGGGCAGACTGAAGAGGCCATTTTAAAATCTTCTGCATTTGTTTCCACTTTTGTGTTTAACTTTACCGGATTTTTAGACGCTCCAAACTTTGCATCAATCATCATTTTTCATTTAAACGTAAGTTTTAGTGCTTTTCACGAGAATTTCTACTTATGCTGTAATAGAAAAYCCTCCCAGTCGTGTGTACGAAGTGCCAAGAAAAAAACCCATCAAACAGAGAATTAAAGTTTATTGAGCTAAGCTCTTGCTCACTTGACCTCTTAAGTACCTAGTAGCCATACTAAATAATCCCTTGAGTAACATTTTAATCAGCTGCACACCTCAGTTCTTTGCATGACAAGGCTGGAAATGTGGCTGCATCAGCAGCTGTCTCTAATGTGAAACGGATCAGCTTTTCACCACACTCAGATATTTCAGAAATTTTATACGCTGAGAAAAACTCAACTAGGATTTTTTTTCTGTAATGTGTGAGGCAATTAGATGCAGCTAAACTGGAAAAAAACATTTAATTATCCTGACATCTGTGCTTGGTCAAGATGAGGAATTTTTTTTTCACAAAATCACCACAAATCTCTACTCATTCAACATTATTGTGCATTTCGAAGCGATGGAATGACCATTAGGCTTACTGAACACAGCAACAGCTTTGGCACTACACCACAATTATGTGTGGTTTCCCTCCCGACTGTAACCAAACCGTCAGAGAGCTCTCTGACTGAATAACTACGACACACTCACATGCAGAATGCAAGGTTAAGAAGAATGTGGACGAAGAGCTCAGATATGATGCATACCAGCCTTTTTGGTGCCATTAAAACCTCTGAATGTCACATGAAAGACGTGGCGCTGGCGGAGAAACGCAGAGGAAGGTCTGATGAAGGAGACACAGCTGTGAGAATACAGCCTGCTTTAAATTTGATTGCACAGTAGATCATTCAAAAAATAAAAATAAATAAATCACACTCCCAAATCWTCTGTCTTTGTATTCAAATTCAATTTACTAAATGAAATGTTAATGAAGAGCAGCAACGGTAGAAATCAAGTCAAATGTGTTTTTATTTTTTTATATATAAAATTTCCTTCAGAGTGTGCTCATCTGAAATATGAAGAATTATTGGGGGGGGGGGG